GTGAGATTTGAACAGCCGAACTGCAGAACTGCAGTCAGCTGAAGTAGCCTGCAGTGCTGCATTTAACCACTGTGCCACCTCGGCTCTTCATGTCTCCCCTAGTCCTTCTTTTCATTAAACTAGACATACCCAGTTCCTGCAACCGTTCTTCATACGTTTTTGTCTCCAGACCTTTAATCATCACTGTTGCTCTTTTTTGGACTTTTTCCAAACTCTCAACATCTTTTTGTAATATGGTGATCAAAACTGGATGCAGTATTCCATATGTGGTCTTACTAAGGATTTATGAGGCAGTACTAATACTTCACGTGATTTTTATTTTATTTTATTTATTTTAGTTTGTCGAACATTTAAAAGATAACAGGTGTAAGTATAAACATAAATATGAACACAGCAAATGGGAGCAAATAAATGGGGACAATACGACAGGGACGGTAGGCATGCTGGTGCACTTATTTAGATTCCATGCCTCTGTTTATGCAACAAAGGATTGTATTCGCTTTTTGTGGCTGTTGCCGCTTACTGCTGGCTCATAATTTATAGCAGTGTTTAAGACTCTGCAAAACCAGGAAGTATCAGAATGCCAGTTGACTCTGTAGATCACTTTTGAATTTCTGAAGCAATTCGAAGGTAACTGGCTCAATTTGATGCCTTGAATCAATCTGAAGATTCAGTACAGAGATTTGATTCAAAGGGATGAGTCAATCTAACGTCTTTTGAATTGAATCATTCATTCAAAGCTTTACCCAGACCTGCTATTAAACACAATACACTTCAGGACTAATATAGATTTTCTGACAGTACTCTTCCAGGATTTCAGGCAGTTTTTCCAGCCCCATCTTGGGTGTTGAAATCTGGGTTCTTCTGAATTCTATTACTGAGGAACAACCCCTTTCCTACATTTCTGCTTTGCATCTCATAATGCTATAATAAAAGAAATATATCAGCAAATTATACCTATGTTCTATACCTCTCTTCCAAAAACATTTTCCTCCATTTCCAGTGAATTTAAGTCAGCAATATAATTATACTAATAAGAGCAATATCTAATAATAACTCTTCAGGTGTTTGACTGACATAATTGTGCAAGGTCATATAATGCCATGAGTTCGTTCAAATATTTTTATTACAAACTTCAATAGTGCATTTCATATATGGAAATAAAAATTACAATACAAATTAAAATGCAGCTCCAGTGGTTACTCTACCTCTACTGAAAACATTCTTTGTTTAGCTAAGGACCTGTCATGGTAATGTTTTTGCTGTGTCTCTAATTTGCTCTTGGTGAAGTTTATTGCATGGAATAAATGATAAACAAATACAGGTAAGATAAGAAAAGGCGGTTTCCATTTGTATATCATGGAATGAGAGAGCTCCCCGAAAGGCATGAAATCTATTTTTAGCTGTGAAGATTTGAAGTACCTGTTGAGCCTGTGTTTCCTAACTGTTTTGGATATGGTTGAATAAATTCTGAGACAGCATCCCTGAAATAGATAGATTAATCTTTTAAGAGAGGGGTAAAAACAGTGCTTTGCATTGAGTTAATAACTCTATATTCCGCATCTCCAGTAGTCTGAGCTTCACACAACTGAAGCTTTAAAAAAAATAGAACAGTTTATTTCACAGAGAGAAAGCAACATATGAATGCTAGAAGAATGCTCTTCTAGTTTCCTTATGTCGAAATAACTGAATTAAAAAAAATCAGTCCATCGTTTGATTTGAAATTTAGCATCTGAAGTATAAAGCCCTGTCCCTTTTCTGATTTAAACCAGACAGCACGACTGTGAGACTCAAACCAATTGAATCTGTAGCTGCACTTAGATCTAGGTTTTAATAGAAAATCTGAATTGTTGTTTTGTTTGTTTTCATTTTAGTTTATTTGCTGATTTACTGAATGTTAGTGTTGAAAGATATCCCACCCCAATTCAGATTAATTGTGTTTTCAGTGCAGTCTCTGAAGTCCTTTTCGGTCTGAGAAAAAAGAAACAGGCAAATGAGAAATACATGAGAAATATTTTGAGAAGACCCTGATTGCTTTTTCAAGTTGGTGAAAAGTTGAGACATAGCTTGGACACTTGGTATCATGCCAGCTGCCGTGAAAAATAGACATATCTCTGTCATGCCACATGGTATAGTGCAAACTACTGGAATTAGGGTGGTCAGGCTGCCAGAGGTGAACTTGGACAAGCAAGAATAAGAAGTCAGTGCCCGATCATGAAATGTTTTATGTACATCTTTGTTGCCAGGGTGTCAAATGCCTTGTTATATTATTCTTCATGCAGCCCCCCCCCTCTCGTCCACGTTCTTTTTAAAAAAAAGTCATTGTCCACTATTTTATTAATAAAACTGAAATGCTTGTCACTATAATGAGCAGGAAAAATAGAGGATTGGCATATTGTATGAAGTTCTGAAATGATATATTAACCTTAAAGACATAATATGAAAGATCACTGCCGATAGGGGATCATGGGTTTCTGAAAAGGAAGGTAGATTAGCTTCCATCACATTTTTTTGACTTTTAGTATATTTTATTTTCATTTTCATACACTCACATGTATACCCCATACAGTATTAAA